GGAGGGGGAGCACAGAGGGACCTGGGGAGGAGGAAGAGAGGGAGGGGGAGCACAGAGGGACCTGGGGAGGAGGAAGAGAGGGAGGGGGAGCACAGAGGGACCTGGGGAGGAGGGAGGGAGGGAGGGAGGTGGCCAGCACAGAGCGACCCTGGGGCTCTGGGCTGGGGAGGTGGGAGAGGCCTTTCCAGAATTCTGGAGCTCTCCTGGAACAGGATGGTGGGGAGACTAGGAAGAGCAAGGAAGGACAGACCGAAAGATGGACCAATGCGAGAAAGGGCCTTGGGACAACATGGGGAAGGAGCCAGCAGAGAGACGGGCCGGGTGGGTCAGAGATGGCAGAGACATCGCTGGACCCAGACGGAGAGAGACGGCGGCGGGCAGAGGGGATGGAGACGGGGCTGCAGGTGAAGCGGACACAGAGACAGAGGGGCAGAAAGGGGTGGGGTGAGATGGAAACCGAGGAAGAAAAGTGTGTGGGACAACGGGAGCAGGGAGGGGCGTGAGCCAGAGAGATGGAGGCTGAACGCTGCAGGGCCAAGAGGACAGTCAGGAGCCCTGGGCACAGCCTGTGGCCAGCATGAGGGGCTTCACCAAGCTAGCAAGGCCACACGAGGGGCCACGGGGATCTCCCAGCTTGTGGAGGAAGGGACAGAAAGAAGAGAAGCAGGGACCTGGGCCACACTTGCGGCCGCCCACCAGGCCACTCTCCCACAGGACTGGGGAGGCCAGACGGGGACAGTGTCCCTCAGCCAAGAGGAGGTGCCACGCCCTCATCTCCATGGCCCAGCCCCAGGGCCCAACAGATGGCAGCCTCCCCATGGGGGACCCCAGCCCCTCCAGGGACACTCCAGAAACCAGCCAGGCCCTTGGCAGCCCAGCAGCTACCCGGCGACGGGCGCTCCTCCGGGAGCTGGAGGCCCAGGTGCAGGCAGCCTACGGGCAGGTAATGCGGGCAGGGGGTGAGGGGACCAGAAGCGAACAGCAGGGACCCCACACCCCAACCGGGGGCTCCAGAGGACAGACCCAGGACTCAGTCTAGGGAGGAGGCCTGGAGGCACAGGCCAACCGGGGGGGTCTCTCAGGTCGGCAGGTCTGGGGTGGCTCCCCTTCCCCACCTCCGCCCACACCGAGCCCTGCTGCTGCCCACAGCACCAAGTCAGTTCCCTTCTGCTCCTCACCCAAGGGCAGGGCACCAGTCCAGGCAGGGGGTGCCAAGGGCAAGCAAGTGAGGAGCCCAGGGCACAGCTAGGGTCCTGCAGGGAGAGACAGGGGCTTCCTGGGCTGGGCCAAGTGGCTGCCTCCGTGTGGGAGGGCCTGCGTCTCCATACCAACCGGAATCTGTGCCATTCAGAGGGCCTAGCTCACCCTGGCACACTGCGTGCCTGCCTTCCTCCTCCTGGGACCCAGGCCCTGCTTCTGAAGACATTAAATCTCCACTGATTGGGAGAGATTAGAGGCAGGGGTGGGGGAGGTGCTGGAGAAACGGTGTCTGGAAGACCCTCGGGAGGCAGCCTCGGGAGACTGCACTCTCCAGGGGGCCTTGGGCTCAAGTGGCCCCCCTCAGCAGTGGAGACGCTCAAAGATAATCCGGGATTAGGACCCAAGCCCCGGGCCCAGGTTCCCCCGCCTGCCCACCCGCCCCCGATCTTCCCCACAAAACCCCAGGAAAATCCCCGGCAGTACTCCAGGCTCTCACTGGGAGCAGCTGGGGGCTGGCAGGAGTCCGAGAGCAGCAGCATCCGCCGAGGCCCAGCCCGGGCCACCCCCGGGGTTCCAGGCCTGGCATGGTTCAGAGCCCATGGGGAACTGTGCCAAGCGGCCCCAGCGCCGGGGGCCTAAGGTAGGAGGGGTCAGGGAAGAAGCCCAGGCCAGGAGGCCAGGATGGACCCTGAGGGTCAGAAGGGATGGGCAGAGCCCTGTGAGGGCCGGGCAGGGTTGGGGGCTGCCCACTGCCCCAGGTGGAGATTTTTTCCTGGAAGCCATAGCCTCTGACATCCTGATCTTGGCTTCTACAGACCGCTGGGTCTCCCATGCCAGGCTCACCAGGTCCCCTAGCTGCCCGCCCAGCTACCCCGCCCCAGCTGCAGATCCCACTCCCTGCTAGCCAGGCTCTGGGAGACAGAGCTGGGCATAAGGTCCCGCTCTGCCGCTGGCTTTCTCAGTGGCCTTGGCCAAGTCCCTTGCCTTTTCTGGTCCTCAGTTTGCCCAACAGAACAGTTAGAGGAGTGACTCTTTCAACCTAAAGTGTTCATGGGTGAGGGTCCTCTGCCCTCCAGCCCCTCCTCTACTGTCCCGTGACGGGCTCCAAAGACAGGAGCGGCTGGGGAGAGGAGTGGGGAGGGCTGGCAGGCCTGGAGCTCAGTGGCCACTACCCCGGCTCACACCCAGCTCTGCTGCAGGACCCCTGGCAGTGGCTCAGCTCCCCATCAAGGGGCTCCTGCCCCAGCCCCAGCTCCAGCCCCAAGGAGCAGAGGGGCCCCGGGCCGGGCGTCCAGGGTTACTCGGTGCTCAACAGTCTGGTGGGGCCTGCCTGCATCTTCCTGCGGCCCAGCATCGCCGCCACCCAACTCGTATGTATGGCCACTTGCCCACCAGCCCGCCTGCCCTTGCCCCTCGCTTTGCCTCTCCTGCAGCTGGGGGGAAGAGGATTGAGTGGGAACATCAGAGCAAAGCCACACAGATCTGGGGTAGGGGTGCAGAGCGGGGAGAGAGAGCGATGACTCCAGAAACGGAAGAGAGATCAACAGTGACACTGAGGCTGGCAGGGCTACATCTGAGGTTTTGCCCAAACCCCAGATACACCACAGCAAAGGGAGCCCCTGCCCCAGAAGAGGGTGACAGAGTAGGTGGGGACAGCCTGAGGAGCCACCTGGGCAGCAGCAGGGAAGGGGGCACCTGGTCACCCAAGCCAGTGAGCGGGACTGGGTGGGAACCAGGGCTGAGCAGTCAGATAGACACAGGCCCTACATGTGCGTGTTGGGGGCAGGGTTGGGTAGGGAGCCCCCTGAGAAGCAAGAAGGAAGGGTGCAGCCATCAGGAGCAGCAGGGAACTCCTAACCCCTCTGTGCCCCTTCAGGACCGGGAGCTGCGGCCCGAGGAGATTGAAGGTAAAGGGTTGGAGAAAGAACTGGTTCCCTGGAGGGGAGGTGGGCATGGGGTGGGGATGCAGGGTGGGGGGGGCATCAGGTGGGGGCCTCAGTGTTTCCAGGAGGAAGTAGGAGCAAGAAGGCTTCAGGGGACCAGGTCAGGGAAATGGGGACAAGACTGAGCAGGGAGGGGATGACAGACCCCCACCGAGCTGTCAGTTCCTTGGTCTCACTGACCAGGCAGGTGACAGGGCCCCTTTTATATCTGTTCATTCAGCTGACACTTTCAGGTGCTCACTGTGTGCCGGGCCCTGGCTGAGTGCTGGAAACATGGCCCGGTAGATAGATACGGCCCATGCCCTCTGGAGACCAATGTCAATTAGTCAGCTACAAGTACAAATGGTGCACATGCTCTCCAGGAAAGGAACGAACAGGCCAGGGGAGGCCACATGTAGAGGGACAGCTTCCTTTAGTAGGCGACATAGAACCAAAGAGGAAGGAGGAGAGTGAGGAAATCTCCAAAAGGTCAGGATTTGTTTCCCCCACTTTCTTTTTCTTCCTTTTTGAAAACTTTCACTGCTGTATCCCCAGTGCCTAGAGCAGAGCTTGGCACATGGTGGATGCTCCTCAAGTATTTGCTGAAAGAAATAACAGGAACAGCACATGCAAAGGCCCTGAGGCAGCAAAGAGAATCTGACGTTCAGAAGGAGGGATGACTGGACCAAGGGAGAAGCGTAGGCTGGTCCAGGCCAGGGTCCGGAGGATGCAGGGAAGGACTGACCCCACCCTGCCTGGTAGAGCTGCAGGTCGCCTTCCAGGAGTTTGACCGAGACCGAGACGGCTACATTGGCTGCCGGGAGTTGGGGGCCTGTATGCGGACCCTGGGCTACATGCCCACCGAGATGGAGCTCATCGAGATCTCACAGCAAATCAGTATGTGCCTCAAACCTGTCCGTATCCCCAGTCCTCCAGATACCCCAGCAAGACCCTGGAAGCCAAGCAGTCCAAGCACAGAGGTGGCTGCATAGGCTGTCCCCAGAGCCCACGACCTGGGTCATTCTCAAGGCAGGCTTTGCCTCTGGAGAATCTCACCAGCCTCTAGGAGGCGGGCATGGCAAGGACTGAGACCCTCATTTTGCAGATGAGGAAACTGAATGGTCAAGTGACTTGTCTAAGGTCACACAACAAGTTCCTTGGAGCCAGGACTTGAACCCAGCCGAACTCTTCAGGAAAATTAAGGAAAGCTCCAGGAAGTTTTTATTGAGATGGAGTCTTGCTCTGTTGCTGAGGCTGGAGTGCAATGGTGCAATCTCAGCTCACTGCAACTTCCGCCTCCCGGGTTCAAGCAATTCTCCTGCCTTGGCCTCCTGAGTAGCTAGGATTACAGGTGCCCACCACCACACTTGGCTCATTTTTGTATTTTTAGTAGAGGCGGGGGTCTTGCCATCTTGTCCAGGCTGGTCTCAAAATCCTGACCTCAGGTGATCCACCCGCCTCAGCCTCCCAAAGTGCAGGGATTACAGGCCTGAGCCCCCGCACCCACCAAAGAAGTTTTGAAAGTGGTTTTCCTTTCACTTTGGGCCAAATTTGTGCCTTGTTTGGAGGGCGATTTCCATTGGGAAATACAGATGACCTAGGCTTTGGGCAGAGAGAGAGGGAAGGATCCATTCACAAAGAGAGGGCAGAGGGCAGAACAGGGTGGGGCAGGGGTCTCTGATGCCCTGGGTCGGGACCCCCAGGTGGCGGGAAAGTGGACTTTGAAGACTTCGTGGAGCTGATGGGCCCCAAGCTGCTTCGGGACGCCTTCCGGGAGGTGCGGCCACTGGGGCTGAGGGCGGGCGGGGCTGCGTGTCTGCCGAGAGTGAGGGGCTGAGCGGGTGAATGACTGTCAGTGACCCGACGCCACGACCAACGCCGCCACAGTTTGACACCAACGGGGACGGCCGCATCAGCGTGGGCGAGCTCCGGGCAGCCCTCAAGGCCCTGCTCGGGGAGCGCCTCAGCCAGCGGGAGGTGGACGAGATCCTCCAGGATGTCGACCTCAATGGGGACGGCCTGGTCGACTTCGAAGGTACCAGATGCCACACTTAGCAACATAGCCTGGAGGGCTCCTCCAGATAAGAAACCGCACAGCAAGTGCCAGCACTGTGCACCAGACCCTGTGCCACGCACCCCCATGTCCTCTCCTAGTTAACCATCACGGAGACCCCGAGAGGAAGGAATTGTCATCCCCATAGGCAGGAGAAGAAAGTCCACTCTCAGGAAAGCCTAGGCACTTAGCAAAAGCAAGTAGATGGAGCCAGCGTTTGAATCTGGGCAGCCTGATCCAGAACCCAGCTCTTCCTCTATGCTGCATTCCCATAAAGGGGAAAATGATTAAATAACAATAAGAAGCCAAGGAAAATTACTATGTGGAAATACATTCCCATAAGCAGAGCCCAAAGTTACTCCTGAGCTTCCTAGCCGTCAAAGCAAAAAAGGAAAACAAGTTTCGTTACAAGAGTTTGTTTGTTCTTTCCCTCATAAGACAAAGCCTCCTCTTCCTGGCCCTGAGGCCTATTCTCTATCAGATCCAGGGGATGCCCTTGAAGACCCTCCCCCTCAACCACACTCCCACCTGCCCCAAGGCCTGCAGATGGCCTCACTCCTAGTGCAGTCCAGAGAGCAGACCCAAAACCTTGGCTTTGTCCTGGCAGAGTTTGTGCGAATGATGTCTCGCTGAGCCTGTACGGAAGCTGGAGGCAGCAGACAGGACTCAAGGACCACAGCCTCTGCCTACTAGCACATCCCTTGAAGCCCATCATCGCCTCCAGCAGGGATCCTCCTCTCCCCAACCCACCTGTGTGCAGTGCCCTTGCCTGCTCCTCCAATAAAGCCGCCTGGCCTCGTCTCTGTTTCTCTGACAATAAAGTTTCTCCAAGCCTGGAAAATGGCTTTTGCCTCTCATGCGCTCATCCTAGAGGCTCCAGTATTTGGCCCCCAAAATCAAGTCCTGGGGCTGTCCTCTTGGATCACAGCCCCTTCCATCATGAGCTCCGGAGAGGCGGGGACCCTCTCCTCTTCCTCCCTGGATCCTGGACCCAGCCCAGAGCAAGCCAGGAAACATCCCTAGGAAGTAAACAGAACCTTCTTGTCCGGAGCTCAGGCATGTGTTGGCCTCCAGTTCCTGCTGCGTATCCTGAGAACAGCTCCTGCCAGCTCTGTGATTACATTTAAGTGTGGAGAAATTGCCTTGGGAAGACTTTTCCCAAGCTTGATCTCACTCCTCCTGCAGTAGCCTTGGAGGCGCACTGCTCAGAGCTCCCTTAAAGAACGTGCAGTTCCACTTAAGAGGAGTGAGTGATAGCAGAAGGGCCCGGCCGCTGGCCCCTTCAGGAGACACCTCAGCTTTTGGGCTGACACCTCACTCCTCCAGGGACCACCCAACGCCACTGGCTGAGCACAGTGTGGGGAACCAGGACCTGGACACTTCTGCCTGAAGCGAGGCCCCTGTAAGGGGCCATGTTTGCTCTGAGCTCCCCTTTGGGGCAGCCAGGGCAGACAGATATTCGTGAACCAGAGGCTGGCCTGCTGGGTCCTGCTTCCACCCCTGTGACCCTCCTTCCTAACTCCATCTCAGCATCCGCCTCCTGGAGGACCCTGGACACTCACAGCATACCCCAGTCTTCATGACCCCATTTTCCAGATTGAAGAAATTCACAGGCTGAGTGCCCTCATCCGTTCCTCCTGCTATAACAAAATACCTCAGGCTGGTATTTTATAAACCGGGCTCACAGTTATGTAGGCTGGAGAGTCCAAGGTCAAGATGCGGACAGTTGAGTGTCTGGAGAGGGCCAGGTCTCTGCTTCCAAGACAGTGCCTCCAGCTGCTTCCTCCAGAGGGCGCCGCGAGCAGTGGAAAGGCAGGAAGGGCAGGAGGGTCCCACTACTCCCTTATCCCAATGCCACCCCCAGCCCTTCTACAAGGCACTAATCCCATCTGCAAGGGCAGAGCCCTCGAGGCCTGATCTTCTGAAGGCCCCACTCCTTACTGTCCTTGCACTGGGGATTGAGTTTCAACATGCATTTCAGACGGGACACAAACATCTAGGCCATAGCACAGGGGCTGGGTGCAGGAGCTCCCCATGCATGCAATACCAGCACTCTGAGGCCTGGAATTTGAGAACAACCTGGGCAACACAGTGAGACCCCATCTCCACAAAAATAAAAATTATCCAGGTGTGGTGGTGCATGCCTGTAGTCCCAGCTACTTGGGAGGCTGAGGTGGGAGGACCACTCGAACCCAGGAGGTGGAGGCTGCAGTGAGCTATGTGATTGCACCACTACACTCCAGCCTGGGCAACAGAACAAAACTCTGCCTCTAAAAAACTTTTTTAACTAAAAAAATAATAATAACGCCGGGCGCAGTGGCTCACGCCTGGAATCCCAGCACTTTGGGAGGCTGCGGCGGGTGGATCACCTGAGGTCAGAAGTTCGAAGACCAGCCTGACCGATATGGTGAAACCTTGTCTTTAAAAAAAACAAATAAGTAAATTTAAAAATAATAATAATAACATAAACAATAGCACCAAGTCCAAGTGACCTGCTAGAGGTCACGTGGCCTCACTGCCCTCTATCCCCACACACTGCCAGGTTATTCTTCCTAAAATGCCACTTGCATTTTGTCACACCCCTGTTCAGGACCTGGCCATGATTCTCCATTACCCCCAGCTTAATCCAGGGCCGTGCCTGCACCAGAGGCCCCAAGAGAACACGGGACTGGCATAAAGCCACACACAATCAGGACGAAGGAAGGTGGGACTTGTACTCAGGCCCAGGGACTCTAAAACCACAGCGCCGACCAGGGAGGGTGCCTCAGGGTCAGGACTGGCCAGGCCAGATCTCAGCCTCTTCTAGCTATGGCGCAGGCCTCATCTGCAGCTCCTGCCTGCTGGGAGCAAATGAACCTGACTTTCCTGGTCACAAAGGGGTCACTGGGGAGCTCCCAGTGCCTGCGCTGGTCCTCACATTGCACCTGCAAGATGGCCCTGGGACAAGGCAGGCAGGTGGCCTGGGACATGCCCTGCACAGTCTGGAGCCCGGCTGCCGAGGTGCCAGGGCTGGCTGCAGTGGCCTGAGCACCACTCTCCCGGCAGAGCTCAATTAATCCTTAATCCTCAATTAGGTGATCACTCCTGCCAATCTGGCAGGCCTGGGGATGAGGATGAGTTTTCCCAGCCCCAGTGGCTTCTCTGGGAGCCAGGATCCACATTCCCACCCTCCCTTCCGCCACCCTCACAGCTGGTACAGATGGTATTGCTGTCTGAGAAGATGTCTGTCCCTGCCGCAGGGGCTGAGGGGTAGTGATGGCCATGAGGAAGAGGGAAATCAGAACCCCACTCAGGGCCAGCCTCCCACCACCTCCCCAGCCCTCAGCCTGGCAGACTCTGTGGCAGGAGAACTGGGAGTGGCTGTGGGGTGGTCTGAATCGGGGCACTGTGTGTCTGCTGGCAAAAGAAGTGCTCCCAGCTCCCCCAAACCTCACATATACCTCCCAACAGACAGCAGCTGGGGCAGCGGATCACAAGCCTGTGAGATCGAGGCTGCAGTGGGCTGGGGAAGGAACAGCGGGCAGGCTCAAAACTACGGCGAGTCCAGACCCCTGCCCCCGCCACAGGGGGCACCTACCACCCAACTCCTCCGACTCTTGCCAGTCAGAGCAGCCCCAAACTATAAGATCTTCTGATTTAGACTGGGCACGGTGGCTCATGCCTATAATCCCAGCACTTTGGGACGCCGAGGCAGACAGATCGCCTGAGTTGGGGAGTTCGAGACCAGCCTGGCCAACATGGTGAAACCCCGTCTCTATTAAAAGTATAAAAATTAGCCAGGCATGGTTGTGCGTGCCTGTAATCCCATTACTTGGGAGGCTGAGGCAGGAGAATCCCTTGAACCCGGGAGGCGGAGGCAACAGTGAGCCAATATTGGGCCATCGTACTCCAGCCTGGGCAACAGAGTGAGACTCTGTCTAAAAAAAAAGCTATACATTCAGATTCGTGCTTTAAGTATTTTGAGTATAACATGCACTCAGTGAGTGTATAAATCCTAAGCTCACATCTCAACAAATTTTACATGTGCATGCACCCAGGTAACCATCACCCAGGTCAAGATATTCCCTCCACCTATTTCATTTTAGAAGATTGTAGGAGTTGGGTACAGTGGCTAATGCCTGTAATCCCAGCACTCTAGGAGGCCGAGGCAGGCAGGTTACCTGAGGTCGGGAGTTTGAGGCCAGCCTGGCCAACATGGGGAAACCCCGTCTCAAAAATTAAACAGGCCTGGTGGCGGGCAGCTGTAATCCCAGCTACTCAGGAGGCTGAGACAGGAGAATCACTTGAACCTGGGAGGCAGAGGTTTCAGTGAGCCAAGATTGTGTCACTGAACTCCAGCCTGGGCAACAGAGTGAGACTCCATCTCAAAATAAGTAAATAAATAAATACAAATCAATCAATCAGTCAATCAACAAAAGGGTTGTAGACTTACAGGATGACTGTGAAGATAGCACAGAGGGTTTCCAAATACCCCGTACCCAGATTCCCCTATGTATCAGTCAGCGTTCTACAGAGAAACAGAACCAATAGGATATCTCAGCAGATGATTAATTCATTCATTCATTCATTCATTGAGATATCTATAGGGAGTCTTTCAGTTGGCTTTGTGTCTCCATCATTGTGTACGTTTGTTTGCTTTTAGCACATTTTACATTTTGGCACTACAAGTTGCTCCAGGATCATCTCGTATATTTCCTGCTCAAGTCCTAGAATCAGTCATTTCTCCAAGGAGCTCTGATTCATTTTATTGGAGAATGGTATTAGACACCAAGATCTGGGGGAGGGTATGGTGCCTAATGCCTGTAATTCCTACACTTTGGGAGGCCAAGGTGGAAGGATCACTTGAGCCCAGAGTTCAAGATCAGCCTGGGCAACATAGTAAGACCCCCATCTCTACAAAAACATTTTAAAAATTAGCCAGGTGTAGTAGTGTGTGCCTGTAGTTCCAGCTACTTGGAAGGCTGAAGTGGCGAAGATCACTTGAGCCTGGGTGTTCAAGGCTTCAGTGAACTAGGATAGTGCCAAGTTCACTACAACGCAGCATAGGCAACAGGGCAAAGCCCTGCCTCTCCTTAAAACAAAAAAAGTGGGAGGAGCTGGGTGCAGTGGCTCATGCCTGTAATCCCAGCACTTTGGGAGGCCCAGGCAGACGCATCATTTGAGGTCGGGAGTTCGAGACCAGCCTAACCAACATGGCAAAACCCTGTCTCTACTAAAAATAGAAAAAATTAGCCAGGCATGGTGGCATGCGCCTATAATCCCAGCTACTTCCCAGCTACTCAGGAAGCTGAGGCAGGAGAATAGCTTGAACCCGGGAGGCAGAGGTTGCAGTGAGCTGAGATCACACCACTGCACTCCAGCCTGGGTGACAGAGAGAACCTCCGTCTCAAAAAAAAAAATGAACAAAAAAAGTAAAGTAAAAGAAACCAAGATCTGGGCACTATATTAGGTTGCTTGTTGCCAGTAGGTGTGGGTGGGAAGGGGATGATTGTTTTCAGGTCTTCTCTGCTGATAGCATAAGAAGATGTATGCTATTCTGTGTATATATACATTTATAAATATTTCTGTACGTAAGCAACTGAATCTCTATTAAGCTGCACATGAGTTAATGCTGATGCCGCCAACTCCAGTCCATTACCACATGGATCATTCTAGCCCTCCCACTTGCTTATCTGTAACTTCTCATTCCAACAGTGACCCCCTCATCCATCCTCTGTTTACTTAATTGTTCAGTTCCAGAACACATGTGTGGTGGTTTTAGAAGTGTTACTCCATCCTCCCGTGAGACACCACCATGCAGTTCCTT